AGTGGACTAAGTCAAAAGAAGCTTGAATTTCATTACTCGAAGTTGAATAAACAGTTCTACATTGCTTTGATAGTTGACAGACTTCACAAAATAACTCTKGACTTGAAACACCTTTGAATAATTCTGGAAACAATACTTCCAATGATGAAAACAGTAAATGACCTACCTAGCAAGCCACAGATGTAAACTAGCTATTGACTCCACATTGGACTGACTACTAGTAGCAGATGTTTGTAATGCCGAACTGATGTATGCATCAAGGTAGTAGAGACCTCCACACTCATGACCGCTCCCAATCGTTCTCTTCGTCAATYTGTCYTRAAAGACACAATGGGTAGGAAAAAAGGTTATGCTACAATTCAAATTTTTGGTAAGCTTTGAAACAGATAAGAGATTTGAAAAAAGATTGGGAACATGCAAGACAGATTTGAGTGAGAGGTCCTTGCTTAGGTCAACCACTCCCTTCCTAGAGATGGTAGAGAGAGAACCATCAGCAACCCTCATTTTATCTTGGCYAGACATTAAATGATAGGAAGAAAATAGGGAAGACATGTGTGTCATGTGGTCAGTTGCACCAGAATCAATAATCCAAGAGACAGGATCAATAGTACTAGTTGCACTAAAGGCAGAGACAATACCTGATCTGGCAAGGGAGGAGGATGGAAGAGAATTGGTCCTTAGACGGGCTAGGGCCCGRCTAAGTACCTCTACCTCATCGGCAATAAAACCTAAGGACCTGGTTTTGGGGGAATTAGTAGTCTATCCCATGGAAGAGGAAGTAACTGTGGATGAGTGTTTTGAACCATCATCACTGTGACCCGTAGCCAGATTCACACTTGCAGATTGACCHTTCTGATGCTTCTTATCTTTCCTCAATGCAGCTGGCTTCAAATGTGGATGGAGAACCCAACAGGTCTCTTTCACATACCTTTCCCCTCCACAGTGGGTGTACTTTAGATGTCTCTTGTTAGGGTGTCTGTTTCCCCTTTGATTTGTAGAGATTARGGCCGAATGTTCCACAGACTGTTCAGCTAGTTTAGTTTGAGTATCAACCTGCATCTCTTTTCTTCTCACATTTTCATTCCTCACAAGGTAGTAAACATGATGTAAGTCTGGCATTTCATCCCTTCCTAGAATTTGAGACCTTATGCTCTCATATATAGGATCTAAGCCAGCCAGAAATTTAAATGCTCTACCCTCTTCAACTTGTTTGTCATGYTTTTCCTTGTCTCTGGCATTCTCCCAATCAATAATAAGGTGGTGATCTAACTCTTCCCATAGTCCTTCTAGTGTAGCAAAATATGTTGCAACACTCATATCTCCTTGCCTCAAGGCAGCAATGTCTTGATTCAGTCTGTAAATTCTTGCATTATTCTTTTTCTGYCCATAGGTTTTAGAAACTTTTTCCCATATCTTGGCAGCCGTGGAGAAATGTTGAACAGTCCTAGCTACTCTTGGAGTCATTGAGGCAAGTAGTCAGGACATAACTATATCATTCTCCTTGCGCCAAGCTGCATATTCAGCACTCCCCACTTCGGGTTCCTTCTTCTGCCCGTCCAAGTAACCGGTGAGTTCCCGGGATGTGATGAACAACATGGCTGAGACAGACCATTCTCTGAAGTTGTACTCATCCAACAACACACTTGTGATCTGTAGGCTGTGCAGATTTGGATTCTCCAAATTAGGAGACCTCCCACAAGCCCTAACATTTCTAGAAGACACTTCCCCGGATATGGAAGACATCTTCTCCTACTCGTAAAGTCAAGACTGTAAACACAATATATAATGAACTGTTTCACACTTACGGAGCTTGCTGCACTGTAACTCAGTCCTGAGAACCCGACACAGAGTTGAAACACCGAGTACTACACTGCACACTGTGCCCTAATTACTGCTGTCGCAGATTATAATCTGTTGTGCTACCTTCTGCTGTGTTCTAATCACTGCTGCCGCAGCCTGCAACTTGCTGTGTTAGATTCTACTGTGTGCTAAGCATTGCTATCTCAGGTTATACTCTCACCCACGAACAGTTCTAGGACTGCTAAGATTCGTCCTTTCTCCAAGATCTGTTCTACATAGATCTATCTTAGCCGAATGGCTACAGTCTGCTGTACTGCGTCTATTAGGGCATCAGCCTCTAGGTCTATCTCCCCTTGGGCCCTACAACCAAGGGAAACCCTAGATGTAGGTCCAGCTGTGTTCTGCGACCAACCCTAGGGTTTMTTTGCAGCAACCAAGAAAAAGAAGAGAGAGAGTTAACTGCGAGTAGAAGAAAAGGCGACTGCTGTAACCAGTCAAAAGATTAGTGCTCTGATACCATGTTTGCTGAAATAGAGATGTCAAATGAGAGAAGAAGAAGAAGAAGAAGATATGAGATGGGCGGTAGAATTAATTCTCAGCCAGCCCTAATCTATTATGTATAACAACATTACATAATGTTACATAAATAGACTAGAATGCCCCTGATTAGTGGAAGGACACCTAATCAAATAAACACTAAATAAGATTAGGCCCAGTAACTAAGGCCCAATAACTAATGACTTAAGACCCAACAARGATAAACATACAAATTAAGACAGCCGAACCAACACCATGGATCATGGGGGTAGTGTAAATTACTCCCTGAACTTTCAGATTCCAACAAAGATTCCCTCTGTTAGCATTTTGACAGTTAACTTTGAAAAAGATTCTCATATGATTGTTTAAACTTTTTAAATTTTGAAATAATCCTTTTCTTCATGATTTTATAAAATTTTTTATTTTCATTTGTTAGTGGTTTAGTTGATATTAATTGCATGTTTTTGTTGCAATTTCAGGTTTTTATAGAAATTTCTTGATTTTTTTTGTTACAATTTTCATTTTATATAAGTTTCTCAAGTGGGTATTTTGATAAATTAACTTCTTCCATCATCACTCAACTTAATGGAGAGGGGGATCTTTGTCCGAAAGCTAAGGGAGGTCTTATTACAAATGAAAGTTGAGGGGGCTAATTACCACCACCCCCAAAGTACAGGGCAGTAATCTGTAATTTACCCAAAAAGGAGGTCATAGGAAAGTTCTGGAGTAGGTATGCAAATATGATTTTCAACCCCCATGAGACGGATTTAGGCATTGGCACAACACAGCCACACATCAGGAACATCTCCCATGAATGACACTAAAAGACGAGATATTCTCGATGTCACCAACAGTGTGCTGTACTGCTGTGTAGTCAGCAAATCCAAACTCTTAAGAACTCAGGATCCGAATGCCATAGAATTGTTGGCCAATCTGTAAGAGCTTTGTTAAAACACCAAAGACCTTTGAATCCTAAGCATCCCTATCTCTGCTCCTACAAAGCTTTTAATCAATTTCTTTTTGTACCTCGTAAAGAGTAGTCCCACCAAAATCTTTTTTAAGCATCGGTTAAAATGAACACACATACAAACAGCGGAAGGTTGTTCAAGTAAATCAGTTGCAAACTAGAGTAGGCATATTTTTGCACAGACCAGATGGAGAGCGCACTGGCAAGTGGCACCCCCTAAATTTATACATGTTTTGTTTATCAAATCAGATTGCAGAAACTAAAAAACCAATCAAAGGATCCCAAAGAACCTGGAGTGATTACCAAAGAACAGGAGCATCTATACCATGATTGTACAACATGACACTTGATACAAGGAGTTCATCATATATGCATATTTCTGGATACAATCAGACCGAAGTCTTACTACACCACAAGCCAAGGTTACTCTGGTTAACAGTGGGCCAGCTACTTCCCCGATCAATCTAATTTAATTTGCAGTTCTGTTCCAAATTGCGACCAATGCAGAGTCGGTGTAAATTTCATATACTGCAAAAGAATATCAAAGAATATTTGATAAGTACAATATCAACACTTTGAAACAGGCAGAGTTAGAGCATCTTATACAGAACTGAGCAAACAGCTGTGGTGGTCATTGGTGCTGCAAGAACACCAAGCGTATTAGAAAGACCAAAACTTGAGTGCAACTGATAAAATCCCTATCCCGGTATCATGATTTTTGCCTTTGACACAGGCCCTTCTCGCTGGGTTCGGAAATGAGTGAGAAGCTGCTGTGACTGCATAAATATATCCCAATAATTTAAATCAATGAGCTCCAGAAAATAAGTTTGTCCTAATACCTTGCTTTGTTTTATTAAATTTATTTATTTTTTTAATATTTTAAAGCTATTTATTTATTTTTTAATATTTTGAAGCTATTCATTTCATGATTTCTCTGAACCTATAGGCGTACAAAACCATGTTCCATCACTTCCATGCCCTGCATTATTTATGCATGCATATATACATCCACAGGAAAAGTGAAGAACTCATATTTTCTAGAGCGCTATAACTCTGCATTTCTTGATTAGCAAACTCCGCTTTTAATGTTCTCATAGACAGAAATATGGAGAAAAAAACTTCACGAGTAATGCAATTATTCATCCAGAAACATACCTTCTCTTTTGCTCTTGTTGTGCCAGACTGAGACAATGCCACTAGAGGTGGCACAGCTCCTTCCTGCAGAACCAGGGTACAGAACCTGCGACTATTAATGCATAATTGCAACAATATTGACGCAGCATTTTCTTTCCCCCTCTGAGACCCTGTTTCAAGAATCTCAACTAATGGTGGGATTCCACCTTCACGACCAATTGCTGAGCATCCCTCTGGAATTGTAGATAGGTTTGCAAGAAGAGCAACAGCCTTTTCAAGCATTCCAGTGGCAGGATCCAACATCTCAACAAGATACTTAACTGCCCCAGCTCGGACTATTCGTGCTTTGTTCTCATGAGAGATTGATAGATTGAACAAGGCAGTAGCAGCATCTTTCTTACCTCGGAGGGTCCCAGATCTCAGAAGATCAACTAAGGCTTTCACTGCACCAGAGCGACCAATCTTTACCTTGTATTGCTCCAAGACAGAGAGGCTGAACAAAGTTGCAGCAGAGTTCTCTTTAGCCCCTGCATTCCCAGTCTTAAGGACATGTATAAGTGGTTCTATTGCTCCTGCTTCCGCAATCATGGCTTTATTGTCATCATTGATCGATAGGTTCAATAGGGCTGTGACAGCATGCTCTTGGGTCATCTTTTCATCTGAATAGAGCAATGAAACCAATGGTGGAATAGCTCCACACTGGGCAATAATGATACGGTTCTCCATATTGTGCTTTCCGAGAAGCCGCAGCTCTGTTGCAGCTGCAGTTTGCACTTCATTAGATTGACTCTTTAGATCCTCGACCAGTTTCTCCACATAGGACGAAGAGGCCATATTATCCAAACCCGAATCTAATAATGGAAGAGAAAGGCTTCTGTTGTAGTCATTGCACTCATTTTCAGTCCTTTCCACCTTGATTTTGGAGCTATAGAATTGTTTCCCTGACAACAATGGAGAACATCCTGGACTTTTATTTGGAGCACAAAAACTAGTGCATTTGGATGTGACTTCTCCAGATAACTCACTTGCATCCCCATGCTTACTTGACACCCTTGATTGTTCAGAAAGACCCACTGTTAATGCTGTTGGCACATATTCTATGCTAGAAATTGCACTAGACACTGATTCACTCCGGCTGTGAATATATGACTGTTCTGGAGATGGTTGGTCACATTTTGGAGTTTCCTTGCTGCAACTTACATTAGCTTCCTCATCATGTCCTGAAGAGACCTCAACTCTCTGCATCTCAGATCCATTTCCAACTAGAGAGGACCTTGAAGTGGAAATGCTACTGTTAAGAGAACCATGGAAACTATCAGTATGGATGAAATATTGAGGACATGTATGACCAAATAAGGATAAGCCTGAGATATTGTTGCTGGCAGAAGTGTTGCAAAGCCTTATATTGTTCTGATCACACCAATTTCTAATCAAAGCCTTAACAGTATAATTTGGAATGAGATTTGTATGTGTGAGAGTTTGGCGGGTTTGGGGGCAAAGAGTCAGCCCATGATCAAGCCATTTCTGGATGAAAGCCCTCTCATAGGTCTGCCCAGATGCCACAATCACAGGGTCCAACATCAGTTCCAATGACAGAGGACACCGAAAATAGGAAGGAATAGGAACACCATTTATTGCAACAAAAGGCTCAAGTTTAACCATGCAATTACGAATATTGGCAACAAGATACACAATTTGATCGATATGGTCTAACTCCTCTTTCTTTGTCTTGAATTGGTCCTTCATTCTCTCCTTTTCTAGGGCTATACTCTCTGCAAGCAATTCATGATTTGATGTCAAACCAAGAATCTCAACAATCTTTATGAGATTTTCAGTGCGAGGAATGACATTGTTCCTTTGATCTATCATAGCCTCTTCTATAAGTTCTGATATTTTTTCCTGCCCGAAACACTGTATCTCCTGAATGCATTTCTGAAAACAATTTACATAGAGATTAAGCCTGCACTTGTTATAGTCAATTAAAGATTGGAAAAAGTTATAGTGTCCAATGAAATCTATGCAAAAAGAACATTGTCCTTGTATATTTGGAAGGCATTCAAGGATTCAAACTCCATTTACCTGAACATGAGCTAAAAGGGAAGCATATTGAGATGACTGTAGCGTTCTACATAATATGTGGCAGATCTCCATTGAAGATCTCTGGATTTTCGTTGCCAATGGCTCACTCTGTAGAACCTGGAGATATCAAAGGATGAATCAAGGAAGAAATACATGATAAGAAACACAAATACACCAAGTTTGTGGAAACTAGATGACAAGCTTTTTCAAATGTTTGATTTGACAACAATTTTTTTTTTTTTTAATTTCTGCAAAATCCTAATTTTCTGTTGGAAGTATCCAAAGAAAGAAAATGGGAAATTAGAGAACATGAGCATTTTGCAATTGTAAAAGTTGTTTATTTTATCATCTGTATGGATTATGTATAAAATGGGAGAATGGAATTGAAGCACTCTATTTGTGATGCTGTGTTTTATCCATTAAAATATCAAAGCATAAGCACCAATTGAAATAAAGGATAAATTGTTATATAGTTTCTCGAGCAGGTGTGCAACCAATGGCACAAAGCAGAATAACATGATATATATATATAGATGGATAGATAGATAGATAGATATGGGAAAAGACTAGAAAAGACATAATCAGAAATGAATGCATCAACGAGGACTTAAAAGTAGCTTCAATTAGAAACAAGATAAGGGAAAGTTAAATGTGATAGTTTGTTCGTGTGTATAGATGAACAATGACTACAATGAGGAGTGAATTGATCCAGGTAGAAGATTCTACAAGAACAGGGGAAAGATCAAAGTAAATATGGTCTGAAGACTGAAGTTTTTCCCTTCTCCTCTCTTTTCCTTTTCCTCTTCCTCTTTCTTTCTCTTTCAGTTTTTTACTGTGTGTTGCTTCCATAATACCATATTTCACATGATATCAGAGCAAGGAACGTGAGAAAGATCTATATAGGGGTCTCCTTTTACAATCAATCGGATTAGGGTTTCTTCTGGAAGGCTGTAACTACTTACTACAGGGGATCGGACTATGTTCAGCAAGACTTTTTTTTTTATCAATAACAACATTTCATTACTTAATCACAAAAGAATTACAGAGAGGAAGATAAACTTTCTTATCTTCCAAAGGGAGCAAAACATTCCCAAGAACAAAAAGGAAAAATTACACTTGTGCCCAAAACATTGATTCCCCCACGACTCCTTGCTTAGCTAATCCATCTGCAAAGGAGTTAGCTGACCTATTCACCCAGCTGACCTTAACTTCCATCTCCTGAACCAGCCACCTAAATTTTCTCCTCTTGTTGAAGATTAACTAGTTTTATGATGTTTTTCTGAGTAGATGTTTTATGTTAGTTGTTAGATAGGAGGTGGGGACTACAATAGTTATGTGAGTCCAAATTTTATTATGTTTTTGAGTGTTATATATGCTGTTTTATGTTTTGCTGCCCTATAAGGGCATAGTTGTCTTTGTACTGTTCTATTATTTTAGTTATAAATAATAAGTGAAGGGGGCGGCCAGATTATTGCTCTCTTTTCTTTTCAACTTCTCTTCTTCTCTTCTTCTCCTTCTCTCTTCCTTCTCTCTTCAAGAAATTACTTTTCTTTTATAATTTTTTAATTCAGCAGATTTCTACTTGGTATCAGAGCATCGGCTAGGGTTTCTTGAAGCATTCTCATGCAGCCCTAGATCAGCCGACTGCATGAAGTAGTAAAGGGATGATCGATCTACTATAGATTGCCCAGTTCTTGGAGTTTTTGGTGGGATCTAGACATCAGGAATGTGATCTACTGTTCGGCATCAAAATCAGGGAAGAACTAGAGTACGAGGAAGAGTCCCAGAAAAGTTGGACTCTTTGTTTTTTATCTGATCTTGGGCGCCCAAGTATTGTTAGTTTTCTTTTGATTTTCTGAAGAGGGCGGTTTGGTTTCTGGAATTTTTTGGGCCTCCCGAAGTGATCGATTCACTTTTCTCTCTGTTGGGAGGCGTGGGGAGGAGAGAGATTTCCCTCCAGCTAGGGTTTTCTTCTTCCGAAAGGGTTGGTTTCTGTGTGTGTGATATTAAATTATTTTTGAAGGTCTCCAATCTATTTTTTTCTTACTATTGAACTGTTTGAAGTAAGACAGAGAGTTGGAATACCGAGATGAAATCTACCGGTACTGTGGGACTAGGTGTTGGAGGTAGTAGTGATATTTTTGGGTCTGGTATCATTACTACAGTAAAACTTGATGGTACAAATTATTTGGAGTGGGCACAATCAGCTAAGATGGCTATTGGTGCCCGTGGAAAATTAAGGTATCTCACTTGGGAGGAGAAGCAACCTGATACAGACTCTTCCCGATGGGTGCAGGAGAATTACATGGTAATGTGCTGGCTGTGTAATTCTATGTTACCTTATATTGCAAAAAATTTCCTATGGGCTAATACTGCTAAGGAGATTTGGGATGGAGTGACTGAAACCTACTCTCAGAAGCAAAATGAAGCCAGAGCCTATCAGTTAAGAAATCAGGTGGAAACAGGGAAAAAAACCTCTTGCTATGTATTTCTCCATGCTGAAAACCCTATGGCAGGAAATAGATCACTTAGAAACTGTGGTATGGGAAAGGGTAAATGATGCAACAACTTATCAAAAACTGGTAGAGAGGAATAGGGTTTTTGAATTCTTGGCAAGGCTGAACCCTGAATTTGACATTGCTAGGCAGCATATTCTTTCTAGGGAGGGTGTGACACTCTCTCAGGCCTATGTTTTTGTCTCTGGAGAGGAGAGTAGGAGGAATATAACGCTGAAACAGCCTAGGATTGACTAGTCGGCTATGGTTGGTACAACAAAACCTAAGACGAATGGAGACAGGGGGAGTAGTGAGACTAGAAGGGAAGATAAGAAGGACTTGGTGTGTGATTATTGCAAGAAGCCTAAGCATACCAGGGACACTTGTTGGAATCTTCATCCAAATCTTAGCCACTATAGGAGACTCTTCAGCCCCTCTCTCCCAAACTGATTGGGAATCCATTGCAGTAGCAGCAGCGAGAACAGAATTGGAGAGGTTTGGACAGCTTATGAGTAAGAAAGATTCACCCAGCTCTAGCCTTTCAGATGGACAGCAGAATGCAGGAACCAACTACACCACTTCCTTTGCACATACAGGTAGTTCATATGCAACTGCAAATCTTGCATCCACTTCAGGTAAGGAGGGACCTCCCTGGATTATAGACTCA